ATGAAGAATAACGTTTTAGATACTCGGTATAATATTACAAAATGTTGAAGGTTAATAGGTTTCCTAATATTACAGCACTTCGAACCAAATTTTAATATACTAGTAACTGTTTGAAAATTGAAATGATGATTTAAAAACAAGGATATATTTTGATGTTAAATTATAAATTAAAATGCAAGAAAAAAATGCAATATAATTTTTCATCGAATCTCAAACCATAAGAAAATAAAAAATCGCAAACAGAATAAAGCTTTTGCAAAAGACTGAAGAGAAGAAAAAAAAGATGGGGTAATTGAATAACAATTTAGAAACATTGCCAAAACACAAGATATGCCCTCCCTCCCCCCGAGCCGGTTCTTACGGCCATGTGGATAGCCTGTTTGATCAAATAATAACTGAAAGACTTTTTATCTCTAGGAAAATAATTTAATTTTACTTGTAACGCGTCATTTGATTGGATAAAAGATTTTATCAAATTTGTATAACATAACTTGCCTACGTCACAATGAGTTACGTCAAAAACGTATTACTCCGCTTGACGTTACTTTTAAAATTTTGTCAATGTGTAGCCTTATTCTGGGGGGAAAATTGTCTCATTGTCTGCACTGAAATTAAATTTTAAGGAATAAAGCTAATTTCAACTTATATATTACGATATAACAAAACTTGGGGCTGTTTACGCTTTTTTATAAACCGCTTCGCTCATTGGGAGTGATCTACCGTATGGAATTCTCTAGGCGGTGAAAACAAATATAGCATATGTTACAGATTGATAGGTTAACAAAAGCACGTGGCAATCGGATATATTCAACTCTACAGAAGTAAAAGAAAAGCAGCAATAAGTTTGTTTATATTGTGTTGAGGGGCAGACAGTTAACAGGCCATCATTAAGAATAGGTACTTGCATGCTGGTAAGTGCAGATTTGGCATAATTATGCTGAAAGTGTTGATAGCTAGGTAGACCGGATGAGAACGATTTTATAGGTTATATAAAGGAGGCACCATAAAAAGTTAATAAAAAATCTTGCCAAAATGTTTTATGGCAGTTCGTTTCCAATTAAGTAAATTATAGAATAGAAACAAACATCCAGTCTCTTGATCATCATGAATAATAAGTAGATGTTAAGGGAAGTAACTCAAAATTGAAGAACTGTGTCTTGTTTCTATATTTGCATTTAAAGCCAAAGTATATGTATGTCATCGGAAATGAGGATTCAACAAAGTATTTTATGTATAAACTTTATGAAATTAATGGGTTTTAGAGAAAACTTATGGTTCAAAATAATATAGGCCCATTTTATCAACATTTTACATAGGAAATGCATTGAAAATTGTATTAACATTGATTTGACAAAATCTATAAAGGAAGGCTGGATTGATGGGTTAAAAGGGCCTGAATTAAACATGTTTGGTACCATTAAACCTGTTCAAAAGTTCTTGAAAAATTCTATACAAAAGCCAGAAACGTCCCTATGTCCCTAAGGGGGCTGTGAGATTACATTGCATACGTTAATCTCTATCAAAATTATTCAATCGAACTTCTGCTCCGTTATCCAAACATATTGCTAATCATTTAAAACAATGCAAAGCAGTTCAAATTATTAATTTGTGCATTGCATATGTATCCTGTGCTTAAGTTGTTATCTAATTAATACTTCGAATAATTCCGTTATGAAACGATGTAAGATAAATTAACAATTCTAAAAAAATGACATTCGTGGAATGGGAAAATTAGATTTATCTATATAACTGGATAATTAAAATCAATAATAAAGCAAAACGAATTAACAGCATTAAAAAACATACCAGTATTAAGTAACCAAACTCATGCTTAACTCAATCAACAAAGATATGCTTGTTATTCATTGCAGGTTTTTTTTCTAGATAAAGCAAAATAGTTCCTTCGACTATATATCTATACTCACCGTCAAGACTCTAATTTTAGGGTGAAAAGTATATACAGGTTATAACTATGTACCAAAAAAGTTAGGACACCTTTTACTTTGCAAAATCAGTTATTTAACCGTTGAATGAATTTCTTTCCTCTACCGGAAGTTGTTTTTAGCCCTCTTAGCAGAATTCAAAATTTTGCATTTTTAATAAAATTATTAACAATATTTGGGTTTTCAAGGTTTTGTAACTGTTTATCATAAGTAATGTACTAAAATCCCGGGAAAAAATCCTTCTTTCTTTACCGGATGTGATGCCTATATTTCCTCAAAATGACTGATTTTCATTACTATTGCTAGAGATTCTCAAAATAAAGAAAAGAAGAGCTACAGATGCAAATGCACACTATTTAACGACTCATCAGGCTCACGTTTTTCAATAGCATAAATAACAGTTTCTTCACCGGACGTCCAAGAGTTACTACACTACGCCATGGTAGAGAAAATTCGACCGCAGTATCTGGACAACAGGCAATTAAAAATGCCCAAGAATATTTATTTCGCTCAGATAAAGACATTGATAAACCTAATGCATGGTAGTAATCGGACTGCGTACATGTATGTTGTTCATGGCGGACTAACATGTGTTGATTAAATGGTCGGAAGGGGGGGGGGGTATTTAAATGTTTTCTGTTAAGAGGGCTAAAAAATCAACTTTTGGTATTGGAAGGAAAACCATTAAACTATTATATAACTGATTTGGCAAAGTAAAAGATGTCCTAACTTTTTTGGTACATAGTTATATCCCGTATATACTTTTCACCCTAAAATTAGAGTGTTGCGTTTTCATTGTCGGGGAGTATAAAAACAAATGCAAAAGAACGCATTTTCAATTCAAGAGTTTGATCGATTGTATATTGTTTAACGGACGTCCCTCTCGAGAATCACTCATATGGAGACGTCACCGATGCCGGTGAAGGACTTCAAATTTAGACCTATACTCGGCACTCAGGGCCATTGAGCAGTGAGGGTTCTTTATCGTGCCAGCACCTACCGTGACACGGGACCTACGTTTTTAAGGTCATATTCGAAAGACCCGTGACCTTCACTTCTGATGCCGAGAGCTTGGCGAAGGAACAGTCGCTACCTATTTTTACGTCTTAGGTTTGACGCGGCGCCGCGAACGAGAATCGACCCCGGGCCACCCGATCACGAAGCGAACGCTCTACCACTAGGCTACCGTGAACGGTGGAATCAGAGTTTGAGGCATATCTTCCTTTTCGATGTTTGCTGTGGATGAGCTTTCCCCACGGCCGATGGAAGTAAACCCGTCTTATATACTTATTTCAGACCATTTATTAATTTCATGTATGAGGAAAAATTCCTTTGTACTTTAATTTTTTTTTTCAAAGCCTTTTCAAAACAAACATGATTTGGGGTTTGAAAGCCACATGCCAACAGAAGTGGTCAATGGTATCCCGGACTACCCCAGCGAAGTAAATATGATTCAGTGAGCATGCAGAAATGACAGTGGTAGTTTTTATTTTCTCATTAAGAAATATGAAGGGATATATCTTCTATAAGAGCAAGAGGCTCATGGGCCACATCGCTGACCTGAGTAACTGTGATCATGCTATTCTCTACCAGATTCTTCCTTTGTAATACCTATTGTGACCCCACCCTACCCCCATCTCCCCGAGTCATAATTTGGAGAATGTAAAATCTACACTAACCCATGATGCTTCCACAAGTTTCAGCTTTTCTGGCCCAGTGATTATTGAGAAGAAGATTGTCCTACATATTTCAATGTTAAACTAGGATTCCCTAATGTGCCCCCTCTACCTCAGGGGTCATGAATTTAACAATGCAAAATCTACACTTCCACAAGATGCTTCCATATATGTTTCAACTTCTCTGGCCCAGTGGTTCTTAAGAATAAGATTTTCGAAGATTTTTCCGATATATTTCAATGTTAAACTTGGACTCTCTATTGTGGCCTGGTCCTACCCCGGGGGTCATGATTTGAACAATTTAGAATTTACGGTACCCCAAGGATGCCTCCACATACGCTTCATTTTTTCTGGACTAGTGGTTCTTTCTTACATATTTCAATGTTAAATTTGGATTCCTTATGTGATCCCCAGGGATCATGAATTTAAAATATAAACTACCCAAGGATGCTTCAATATTAGTTACAGGTTTTACAGGTATTAGTTACAGGTTACAGTACCCATTGGTTTTATAGTCTAAGTAAAGAATTGTTTTATGAACCCATTCTATTTTTGTCTCATTTTGATTATCTCCCCATTTAAAAAACAAAATTAAACCCTCCTCCCTCGAAGGATGCATTGTACTAAATTTGGTTAAAATTGACTCAGTGGTTCTTGAGGACAAGTTGAAAATGTGAAAAGTTTACAGACGGGCAGACATACAGACGGACAAGGTACAACGAATGATCAGAAAAGCTATCCCGAAACTTTCAGATGAGCTAAAAACAGTACAGTGTAGTAATATTTCCAAAAAAAATCCTAGTGACTAACAAACACATATTGTATTAGATAACCAAAAGCAGGAAAGATAACGCAATTTTTTTCTCAGAAGTAATTTCTCAGTAAACAGGATATAACGTAAATAAGTCTGATCCTCTGGGGATATTTTTCTTAGGTTACATTACATAACACCTACCATCTACAAGCCAGTGTTTAATTCGATCCTTGCCGCTGTTACTCAGTGAACAAATAGAGGTATGTTTAGAATTCATTTTTCTAAAATGCATTTTTTTTAATTCAGTGGGGCAGATTTGTGTTTACTTTTCACTGTTTTTGAATTATGAATAATACATGCAAATTATTATTCCTATTAACAAAAGAAAACATTTTTTTTACAGTTTGTTGAGAAATGGCATTTTATAAAAGAGAGATTTCGGTATCGACAACTGAACCTTCTCAATGGAATTCGTCTCATTTTGATGAAGAGACAGAATTGCACAATAGTACCTATTGGATCTCTTATTTTTATCCAGTTGACGAAACTCTACAGAGAATCTGGAACGAAACAAAAAATGGCTCTAATGATTATTTAAACTATTATGATTTTCATAACAATTATAAAATGTCATTCCATTTATTTAATTCTAATGCTATTGAATGGACATCGGAATGGTTTGAAAAATTAACAGTGGTGTTGGTTTTGATTATTGGATTACTTGGTTTTGTGGGAAATGTTGTGACCATCTGTACAGTTTTATGTCATAAAAAATTTCACACTCCAACATTTGTTGCCATCAGTTGCCTTGCATTGTCTGATACTCTAAATATCATCAAAATGTTTCTGGATAAATTTTCTAATTGGAATGTTTATTTTTACGTTCAACTAAAGTTAGAAAGGGATTTTTGGGTAATAATTATTTCGCTAATGCAAACAATTGAATATTGTTCAAATATATACATTGTGTTTCTCGCTATGATCAGATATTTATTAACAGTCCAGCCCTTAGAGAGCAAGATACGACTTACCGCGTCAATTGTTATGGTATGCTCTATTATGATCTGGCTTTACGCTTCACTTTTTTCAGCTTTTATATTTGTAATGATATTCTTTATTTTTAAAAATTCTCCCCGCCAATTTGAAATGCGGCGACTATTAATAATAATCATTAATATACTTTGGGAACTGCTTTCTCTTTGTGCAATCATTATTATACATACCAAAAAGATGAAAGCTTTAAAAAACTCTTCTGTTAGAAACAACATCTACAGAAGAATGAACGTTGTTATTTCCATTATATTATCAGTTTTTGTTTTCCATAAAATGTCTTCCATATTTAATGACGCTGTTTGGTTATATATAGATTTTTCTGGGAATTCTATTCCAGTAATATTTTTAGTATCCACATTCTATGTGCGTATTCTCTTTGGACTCTTTAATTTCGCTTGCAATCCCTATATACTCTTTTTTTCTTCACTGAGGGTGTAATAATCAAGGTAATCAAACATTAATACTGTATTATTGTAAACAATGATAATTAAATAATTTGTGAGATGTATGCTCATTTTTCAAGTTTTGTAATCATTTTAACACAAGTTTTTCAGGACTGTATTATATTTTAGCAAGGTTTTCAAAAGCATGATTTTACACGCCGGATGTATACATATATCTTACATATATGCACACGATTTGAAGAATTATTAACACTGAACTTCCCGTTACTGTACTATAAATTATTCAAATTCATGCATTTGTCCATATCAAAGGTTGACTCAATAAATAATGCTATTATTTTATCTAAGTTTTTTTGATTTCCATTTGACTTTTTGAAAATATGTAAATTTTTTATTATGTAAATTTCAACATATTTTGTATAATGAATTTGCTTGTTTAAGGAAACAATTTCTGAAGATCACTTTTACATCCTAGTTAGAGAAAATGAAACTAGTTGAAGAAAACACTTCATAACATCCTTTTTGATAAATGAATAGAAAAAAATACCTTTCATATTATTATAAATTAATTGTTATAATGTTACGAAATTGAATTAAAATCCATGCTTTTTGATATCATCGACAGCTACTTTTTCAATAAAAATGGAACGCGTAAATTTACTTACCTGGTCATTTGAAAAATTATTTTGTTAAAACAGATTCTGATTACACACACAAGTACTCTGAAGTTGACATCAAGAAGATGCTTGAGTTTCTGATTGACAATATCTATGTGGTTTTTGGAGACCAGGTATTCCAACAATCTATTGGATATCCCATGAAAACCAATTGGGCTCCGTTATTAGACCTATTTTTATATTCATATGAAGTAGAATTTATGCAAAAGCTTATGCGTGAAAAGAAGAAAACATTTGCTGTGGTCTTCATCTCGACATTTACATATATTGTCGACGTATTGTCAAATAGCAATGATAATTTCCATTCCTACGTCAATACGATATATCCAGAAGAGCTTGAGATAAAAGATACCACAGAGTCTGACACATATGTTTCATACTTGGATATTTTACTTGAAAAAGACGTTAATGGTAATCTAACAACCAAGTTATATGATAAACGTGACGACTTTAACTTTATATCGTCATCTTCTCTTATGCACAATATATCTTCATCACCTGCATACGGAATGTATACAATGCAAGACAAGCTCTACGTATGAACAATTTATAACACGTGGTAAGTTATTGACAAGCAGGTTGATGAAACAAAAATATCAGCAGTCTGGTTTAAAGTCATAAATTTGTAAGTTCAATGGTTGATACAATGACCATGTCAGCAAATACAATTTATCATTGCGTCAAATGCTGACTGAAGTTTTTCATACCAATTGTTAGTCCATTATTTACACATTGAATTGTCGACTGATTTTCCCGTTTTTTGACGATCATGACAATGAGCATACAGCGGGTGTGACCAGTTAGTAGGGGATGCTCACTCCTCCATGGCACACGATCCTACCTCTGATGTTTCGGAGATCTGTGTTTCAACTGCTCTTGTTTTGTATTGTCTTATTGATTTTGAGATTGAATACTGTTCATTATCGCAATATCCTTCCCATATTTACATGTTGAATTGGAAATATATATATTTATTATTATTATTTATTTTTAGGCGGAGGCAACCCCAATCAAGGCGAGAGATACTAACCTCGTGCCCAATAGGAAAAAACAACCCCATTAATAAAGGTACGGATAAATCCTCCTCAAACAAGTCAACGGATCCTAAAGTATTTAATCTGTCATCTAGGACTCTTACAGATTCGGAAATAAAATTACTTTCTAAAGGTTTGAAGTATACTCCTACACCTAGAAGGAACCACCAGGAACTAAAAACAGATATTAAATCATATACACGACGTTTATGATTAAGGGAGTTCTTCCACGAGGATGAGGACGAGAATGATTCTAATGAAGAAGTTGAACATACACAGCCCGAGGATCTTGTAAGAAACAAGTCAGATTTCATTCCAAAACGAGGAAGAAATTGCACATTAGATACTGTTTGCGAGACGCTTGAAAACATAAACCTTCCAGATACCAACTTACCTAATAATAAATCAAATCTTCCTAAGGATGAGCAAATTGCCCTGAAAGACTTATGTAGCGACAAAAGTATAGTCATTAAAGAGGCAGACAAAAGAGGAGGAGTGGTCATCATGGACAAGGACTCTTATGAAAATAAAATCATGGCCATGTTACAAAACACCGAATTTTATCAAAAGATTAACAAAACAATGAAAAGAAATCTATGTCAAAAATAAAAAGTCTTGTCCATGAATCTTTTTCTGAAGAATTAACAGACAAGGAAAGAGACTATCTTATAAATTTTGAAGCCCGCGAAAGTCAGTTTTACGGCTTACCCAAAGTTCACAAATCGAAGGAAATTAAGAATGCCATAGAATCTCAGAATTCTGAATATATTACCTGCCTTATTCCTCAGGATTTATCTTTTCGACCTATTGTTGGAGGCCCTAACTCGTCTACCCAAAGACTTAGCCATTTGTTAGATATTTTGCTGAAACCATTCTGTGAAAAGGTACCAAGTTTCATTAGAGATGATCTTGACTTCCTGAATCATTTACCAGACGTCGATACTAAATTAGTTACGTTTGATGTTGTTAGTTTGTATACTAACATTCCAACGGAACTCGGAATAGAAGCGATAAAATTCTTGATAGAAAAACATCCTTACCTTCTTCACGATCGCTTTCCACAAGAATTTGTCCTTCAAGGATTGAAATTAGTCCTTCAAAATAATACGTTTGCCTTTGATAATAATCATTTTTTACAAGCTAAAGGAACTGCCATGGGAACAAAAGTTGCACCGACGTACGCAACACTTACTCTAGGATACTTAGAATTCAAACTTCACCAACGACTCATAACATTGTGGGGAGAAGATATAGCCAATAACCTTCAATCTAAATGGAAAAGATTTCTAGATGACTGCTTTTTTTTATGGGATGAAAGTGACGAAAAATTAGACGTTTTAAAATATTAAATGAGTTGAATGCCAACATCAAATTTACGATAGATACCAGTGAAAATGAACTACCATTCCTAGATGTTCTCGTTGTTAAAAAGGACACAAGGATTGTTACTGACATATTTTACAAAGTGACGGATACACACCAATACTTACATTTTGGTTCCTGCCATCCGCATCATACCAAAACATCAATTCCTTATAACCTTGCCAGACGTATATGCGCCATTGTCAGTGAAAAAGATACAAGGGACATTCGTTTAAATGAACTAAGAACGTATCTTGTTAAACAGAAATATCCAGTTCAGCTTATAGATGATGGAATACTTAAAGCCAAGGAACATGATAGATCGGAATTACTTTTAGCCAAAGGACGTGAAGTTAACGAGAATATTATTCCCTTTGTGCACACGCATAATCCCCGGAACCAGAACATCAACCCCATTGTTCACCAACTGAACACAATTCTCAGAGAGGACGAAACTACAAAGACAATCTATAAAGACGTAAAATTTATCTCAAGTAGACGTCAACCCAAGAACCTGAAAAGACTCCTATGTAATTCTAATTTTGAAGGAACTTATTCAGTGACTAAATGTGGAAATCCCCGATGCGGAACCTGTGATTTTATAATTGAAGGATCTTGTTATAACTTTAACGGCAGAAAATTTACAGTGAACGCCAATATGTCGTGTGATACACAAAATGTTTTATATGTGATAACCTGTCCAGGGTGTAGTGAATTTTACATAGGTGAGACCAGTAACACCCTCCGTACCAGGGTTCGTACCCACAAGCAACAGATTAACACTCCAGAGTATAGACAAATACCATTAATTGAACATTTGGACGTGTGCGGACAAAAGAAATTTACGATATTTCCGTTTTATAAAGTAGCAGGAGGAAATGATATTTGTAGACGCCAAAAAGAAAAACATTTTATTTGTGCGTTAAAACCAAAGCTTAACAATCTGATGTAATGTATATCTATTGGATTTAATTATGTATGCATATGTTTATCTGCATTTTATTAAGAACTTGAAAATTTCACGTACTTTTACCTGTACGCAATGAGCTGCTAACTATGACGTCATAATTCATTTGACTTCATAATAACGACGTCATATACTCCGCCAATTATTGTGTAACGTTACTATGTTACTACAGTTGTTTATTTGTAGAGCTTCTGATGATAGAATGAAAGGCCTAAAGCTTTACTGAAGTTTTTCGTGTTTTCTTTTTTATTTTAAGTATATATATATATATATATATATATATATATATATATATATATATATATATATATATATATATATATATATATATATATATATATATATTTATATAATAAGGTACCATTTTTTGAGTGTTATTGGGATGTAAAATGGGTTGGTCACGTGATCAAATCCCATAAAGCCCGAAGGGCTTTATGGAAGATTTGATCATGTGCCAACCCGTTTTACATCCCAATAACACTCAAAAAATGATACCTTATTACTTATATTTACATTTGTGACTTATTCATACTTTAAACTTGCCTGATTGTGACTTTTAACGTGTGAAATGCATTATTTTTTCAAACCCAACGGCATGTATGTAATCCACTGACTGCGCGTCGACCCTTTATGACGTCACAGAGAAATTACGTCGAACGTTTATCCATACGAATATCTATTACCTCTTGACCCCGTACCTGTATTTATACAGTTATAAAAACGCTTGCTTTCAGTAGTGTTATATAAAGGAAAACATTTGCAAATGTAAATATATATATATCGATGTTTTATAACCTCTTGCGAATTTTTCACTCGTGCGAAGACGCCCTTATTTGCCATCAAGGGCTATCTGATTAAAATCAGATGTCGTTTTCGCTCGAATTTCGGAGCATAACAAAGATCTGAAATAAAAATTTAACGCAAGTTGTTAAAAATACCAAGATTAGATATATTTGCATTTTATAAACATGATGACACATTATTCTGCAATTAAAGAATGTGCATAACGTGTGATTCAATAATGCTGAAAATCCTATCATATAAAGGGTGGATAAATGATTTCACAAAACTTGTCAGAGGGGGAATTTACAATGCTAATTATTAAACAAAAAAGACTCTTTTGAATATTTAGCATGCTTTTAAAGAGATCCATATAGGCGTCGGAACCGGGAGGGCCCGACTTTTTTTTTCCAAAGATAGACTTATTATAGACATCGGGCACTGCTGCGTAGGTTTAGCCCCCTTCCCCAATTTCCACAGACATGTTGCAGTACAGGCTTAATAACTGGGGAAAGTGTTGATGTTTGGAAAAAAAAATTGGTGCTGGAGTTCGAATCTACCCCCCCCCCCCCCCCCCCCCCCCCCCCCCCACACACTCCTCTCCCAAACGAAATAAGATTTTCGTGTTTGGCCAACGCACATTTCCTTTTTATTTTATTTATTAATTTTTTTTATTTT